GACACTTGATTGGAAGTTTATAGCCCTCAAAACTGTGGCTGAAGGAGAGACCTTTGGGTAAGTGGACTGTCTGATGACTGTACGTTGCGTCGTGTGCTGAATGTTTGGATAGGCCGAGCCTCTCAGGCTAAAAACGTTCAATCTTGACCTCGCAAAGACTTTGTTGTTGTATCATTACTAGACTATGTATGTTACCATATACTCGAACTGAACTATAGACACTCCTCTATGAGAGTATCGATGAGAGGCTTGTATGTCTCGATCGCGACGATGCCAACAGACTACGACGTCGATGGGTGCCTTCCACTTGACTTTCATTATTTTCGATGTGCTCCATCATACGTCTCGAAAGAGCTTTCACAACGGCAAAGTACTTACACATTAGGTCCCTAGATTTTGGTAAGTTACCACACCTGCAGAAGAACTGTAGACTGGCAAATTGCAGTGGGTTCGAGTAAGGTTGCGGAGAAAGCCTGGAGTTGCGATCAATTCTGATCCGCTCAATAGTTATCGTTGGAAGTTCGAATTTCTCCGTCTACCGACACCGTGACTGACGGCGGGCCGTTCTACTCACCACGGTTGCAACTCGGTCAGCAGACTCAAGACAATTTTTATACGCCTATAAATTATACTATAAAACATCGCATTTCCATGTGCTCGATTCGTCACACAAGATGCTCGCCTCATCCAAAAGGGCGTTACTTGTCGCGCTTCTGGGAATCGCTGGCTGCTCTCGAATAACCCAAGCGGTCCCACAAGCAACCTCATTTCAACTTGACTCTCGCAACGCATTTATAAACACCACTGGATTGACGAATGATGTAGGATGGGATCCTTACTCGTTCTACGTCCATGGAAAACGCATCTTTCTCCAATCTGGTGAATTCCACACTTGGCGTCTGCCCGTTCCAGCACTCTGGAAAGACATTACCCAAAAGGCCAAAGCGGCCGGACTCAACGCATTGTCGATCTATGTTCACTGGCATCTTTTGAACCCGAAAAAAGGTGTTATTGATATGACGGGCGTTAACGACTTGCAGCCTCTGTTCGATGCTGCTAAAGAAGCTGGTCTGTTTATCATCGCGCGTCCTGGGCCCTATATCAAGTGAATCTACTTTTCTACTTATGCAGCATAGTTTTACCCTATGCTTTGACAGTGCAGAGACGACTAATGGTGGCCTCCCTGGACACGTCGCGACGATACCGGGAGACCCGTCCTGGAACGTATATAACGGAGAAATTCGAAGCAATGACACGTATTTCCATGATGCTTGGCAGGACTACGTGAGTCGACCCTTGTTTTGACATCGCTTTCTAGCTTGACTGACGACCATCCTAGTGGAATGCTGTTATTTCAGTCATAGCAAAGAACCAGATCACGAATGGCGGTCCCGTCATTATGTTGCAGCTTGAGAATGAATATTATAATGGCGGTGGGTGGGTTTTGAGTGGGCACCGGGCGAACCTGACTGATGGTAACCGTTTGAAGCTGGTCAAAATGAATATGTTGCAGAACTCCGTCAGAGTGCATTGGACAATGGCATCGTGAGGTTTGCCTTGATTACTTTAAGGAATCATAAATCTCAATAAATCTCACAACTTCAGGTAGTGCCCACTATGGTCAACGACCCAGGAATGTTCCGAAACTTGGTGGACTCTGCAGACATCTACGGCATTGATGCCTACCCAGTCAGTGAGTGTGTGATCATAGGGTGTTGCCTCGATCCTACTTACTTGACCGTCTTTAAGCCTTCAATTGCGCGGACCCCACCTTCTGGAGAGATATCCCAACGACTTGGAGGACGTACCATGAGTCGGTCACCCCAGAAATCCCCTTCATGTTCCCTGAGTAAGGTTCGGTCGATCGATATCCCGCCCTGGTGGCTCAGCGTGCTTTCTAGATTCCAAGGTGGCTCATACGATCCGTGGGGTTCCAAAGCCGGTTATAGCGCATGCCGACAGCTGACGGACCCGAAGTGAGTTATTGACGCACTTATCATGTACGAATGAATGCTGAGTTTTGTACAGCTTCCAACGCGTTCACAACTTCCATCTTTGGGCCAATGGGGTCACTGCAGTAAGTTGTTGTCTTTGTCATACTTGCGGTTGGTTTGAACACGTCTTAGGTCAACTTTTATATGTTCTACGTGAGTTTCGTGGACGATGTTTAGTTCGATCTTTGTTGAGCTTGGCATAGGGTGGCACCAACTGGGGACAAATCCCGTATTCGAGTATGTGATAAGTGCAGTCATTGTTGTCCAGGAGCTGATATTTCTTCTGTCCAGACACTTACACCTCTTACGTACGCATCTCATGTTGAAAAGTAATGTGCCTCTGCTGAAGATTTGCTCCCCAGGACTATGGTGCCGCAATCGCAGAAAACAGAGAGCTCTCTGCCAAGTTTGGCGAACTCAAGTTGCAATCTCTTTTCCTTCGGTCGTTTGCAGACATCCGGGCGACAGTCTGGAAAGGTACGCAGAACCTTCACTTTCTCGGTGATCACGAGCAACTGATCAAGGCGCGAGTGCAGGAGAAGACAACGCTACGTTCGCTGGGGTCACAACGACTCACTTGCAGAATCCAGAAACTGGCGCATCGTTCTATATTGTTAGGCATATCAAGACGAGTGACCCGTAAGTTTTACTGTCGCATAAGATAGTTATTTCTGAAGCTGTGTTCCAGCGCATCGGTACCCCTGAAGATGTCCGTTGGCGCAGCCAACAAGACTGTCCCGCAACTCGGTGGGGATGCGACTTTACTTGGCCGTGATTCCTTCATCATCAGGTGAACTAGGAGGTCATTCGTGCTTGGTTATATCCCTGATCTTTGTAATGCAGTACGGATCTGACCTTTGGATCTTCGAAGCTCCTTTACTCGACTGCAATGCTCCTGTCAACCTTCGAGCTCGATGGTGACGATGCTCTCGTGGTCTATGGGAACACGGGACTGGTCTATGAAATCGCTATTGAGACAGACGAAGCCCCGACCATTGTGACTTCTGGTGCCACCAAAGTCACCAGCAAGTACTTCAAGGTACGCTCAAATATCAGACCACATCTGAACTCAACTGTATCCTGATTCTCGCCTCAGGCCGAGAAATCGTTCGTGATTAACTTCACAGTTAGTTCAGGGATCACAACCGTTAAGACTGGCGGGCACAAAAATCAGGACGTCGTCCTCCTCATCGCCGACTACGACACTGCGACCACCCTCTGGATGCCCACCATTGCCGGCAGCGGCCCCCTCGCCCAGTTCGTAGACGTCGAGGCCTCTGCCCCGCTCCTCATCCGTGGACCCTACCTTGTGCGCACAGCCTCGCTCACACACAACGCACTCGCGCTCACAGGCGACCTCGATGCGGAGAAGTTTATGCCTCTCACGGTGTACGGCCCCAGTACGATCTCGCAGCTCACCTGGAACGGCAAGCGTGTTCAGGTGAAGAAAGTCGCTGCTGGGACGTGGCAGGCGACGCTTGCTCCGCGTAGCCCGCATGTTGCGCTGCCGGACTTGATGAGCGCACAGTGGAGGTATAGAGATTCTCTGCCTGAGATTGGGGATGACTTTGAGGGAGATGCATCGCTTGTCCCTGCGGACCATACGACGACGACGAACACATTCCCGCCGTACTACGGGGGCCTGTGGATCCTTTATGCAGACGACTATGGGTTCCATGTGCGTGCTCTGACGCGTGCCCTTGCACTGCTCATACTGACGGGTATGTTCGTAGGCTGGCAACCTGCTCTGGCGCGGCTCCTTCAACCACGGCGCAGCGCTGACTGCTCCGACCGCAGTAAATATTAGCGTGTCGGGTGGCCTTCACTTCGCGGCGTCCGCGTGGCTAAATGGGCACTTTCTTGGCTCGTCAGATACGCTCCTGGCGACGAACAATGAGACGTGGCCTGTCACGGGGGATATGCTGCGCGATGGGGAGAATCATGTTGTCGTGCTACAGGAGTGAGTCTTTCCTACGACTTCGTTCTTTCGGTAGTACTGATGGCGGCGTGCAGCCATATGGGCGGAAATCTTGCTGGACAGATCGTGTGTTGCACCCCAGGAGGCAGGCAGCGGGACCTGCAGCAGCCGCGGGGCATTCAGGTGCGTGCTTCCTCCGGCACAATTAACCTGAGATGGTGTTGATAACGTGCGAAGGGATACTACCTCGAGGGCCGCCCCACCACGGCGCAGTTCACGAAGTGGGAGGTCGCGGGTAACCTCGGCGGGGAGGATGTCCCGGATAAGTCGAGGAAGATCTTGAACGAGGGTGGCTTGTACGCAGAGGTACGTCTCCAGTGCGCCCGTGTACCGTAGGTTCGAAGCTAACAGGCTTGTAGAGGAAGGGCTGGCACCTGCCTGGATTCAATGATGCAGAGTGGGAGACGCGCACACCGTTCGAGGGGCTCACGAAGCCTGGGGTGCGTTGCGCTGTTTGTAAACTTTGAGCTAGGCATGCGGCTAATGCGAGCGCGACAGGTGGGCTTCTTCCGCACGACGTTCACGCTCGACCTGCCCGAGGGATACGACGTCCCGCTCTCGATCGAGTTCGCGCCGGCGGCAGGGCACTATCGCGGTACGCCCTTCCCTTCCCTCTCCTCCTTCCATACTGACTCACACCTACAGCCCAACTGTACATCAACGGCTGGCAAATGGGCAAACGTGTAGCAAATATAGGGCCCCAGACGGTGTTCCCCGTGCACCAGGGCATCCTCAACTATTCCGGCGAAAATGTGATTGGGGTGAGTCTGTGGGCTCTCGGGGAGGAGGAGGGGGATCTGAGGGTGCCGAGTTTGAGGATCATTAGGGGTGGAGGGGTGTATGAGACTTCGATTGGGGATGTGAAGGCCGAGGGGGCAGCGTGGGGGGATGTTAGGGGGTAAGAGAAGAGCGTGATTTGGCTGTGTAGGCCTAGGGTATCATGTCAAATGAATGAGTTTTGGGATCCTACAAGAGTGGATTGTGTTATTCGACTTCGGGGGACTGCCCTGCGGAGAGCAGGAGAAAAATGAGTCGACCCAGGCTCGAACTGAGGACCTTCTGTGTAACGGTGGACCACGACATGTAAGACAGATGCGATAACCGACTACGCCATCGACCCCTGGAAGCGTGATGGCGGAGGTTGCATCGTCGGCGATTGCCTCTTTTGTGTTGTGTTCGCGTTCAGGCGGTGGTGGCTCGGTGAAGGTAGATATCCGGGGTCAGTGTAGGAAGCTTGATAATCTGTGGGATAAAGCAAAAGAAAAGAGGGGAAAGGGTGAGACAGTGAGAGAACGATAATGGCCAAGGATGCAAAATGAGTCGACCCAGGCTCGAACTGAGGACCTCCTGTGTACACCCCGCTGCGGCTATGTGAGACAGATGCGATAACCAACTACGCCATCGACCCGTTGTGTGGCGCACATGGGCGGGTGAAATGTGGTAGTTCTCACGGGAGATAATCGGTGCATTGTGAAAAAGTAAAAGGGAATGTGAGTGTATGAGGCGACCCATGCTTGAACTGAGCACATACAAGCACAAAAGCGCAATAATGTGAGACAGATAGGGTACCCAACTACTCTATCGGCCCAGGACAACCTCGGCGGTGGTGCAGGTGACGGGGTATGCGTTGCTGGAGGATATGTTGGCAAAATCATTTCTCGGAATTTATCCATGAATCGGCCCAGGTTTGAACTGGGAGCCTTCTGTATACAGCAAAGGCAAGATACGAGGTTAGACAGAGGCGATAACCAGCCGCACCATCGACCCATTACACCTTAGGCTCCCGTGTGGGCCACGAGGCGTTGATCCAGCAGGAATGAAGGTGGAGGTGGGTGACAAAACTATACACACGTGAATGCCTGCAAACCATGGGTCGACCCAGATTTGAACTGGGGCCTTCTGTATACATATTTCCCTGCGTATGTTAGACAGATGCGATAACCAGCTACGTCATCGACCCATTACACTTTAGACTCCCGTGTGCGCCACAAGCCGCAAGGCGTCGATCGCACGGGGATGAAGAATAATAAAAGGCAATGTTTGTCGCTCACTGCGAGTGAATCGCGATGGGTCGACCCAGGTTCGAACAGGGACTTTTTGTGCAGGTGTAAGTAGATTCGATAATCAGCTACGCTGTCGACACATCACATATTGCGATTGCATGTGTACCATGAGGCATCGAAAGGATGGAGGAGGGAGGCCTCAGACAAAAAAAAACTTGACGCTCTTGAAAGATTGAATCGGCCCAGGTTCGAACTGAGGATATCCAGTCGGTAGAGAGGTGCGATGATCAGGTCCATGAGCAGATATGCCACGGGCCTATTATTTCTGACTGTACATGCGGCCATAGACAGGGTTGGAACATAAAAAAGAAAACCTTCATGACGAGATAGCGAGTCGATGAGGACCTTTTGTGTACACCTTGTCGAGTTGGAGAGAGATGTGATAACCAGCTACGCCGACGCGTTGCATATCATCTCAGGCCAAGCAACTTGACAAGGAACAAAAGATTACACTCAGCGTTGATGAGTCGACCCAGATTCGAACTGGGGACCTTCTGTGCACCAGTACATCAGTTCCATGTTAGACAGATGCGATAACCAGCTACGCCGTCGACCCTTAATGAGAGCCACTCCCGATCGTAGTTCGGTCGGACACACTGGACTTGGAAGGCGGGTGGTCGTTTCCTGGAGGTATGGGGGCGGAAGGAGGTATAGAGGCTGATTCATTAGGAAGCCATGGCCATGGTAGGGTAACTATTTCTTGCTTGTTACGCGTCTCGCACACCTGAATTCGGAATGAGCGTGTATCTCCCACTAAATAGTAAATATCGCACATGTGTTATGCTCACACCCCGCGCCGGGCCCGCCCCTCACGCTTGAACGTCCCCGACCCAACCTCCTTCCGCTTGTGATGCCAACAATCACCGCAGGACCCAGCCAACACGGGAAAGAGCACACGGACACGCGTCCAACAGGAGCGACCAGCGTAGTGTTAACCGCTCACACACACAGCTGCCGGCGCCTCGCCTCGCCTGGTCCCTTCTCCACTACCCAGACGCCGAAGATAGAAGATCGAGCACCAGTGTGAGATCCAGCGACGCCCATGGCCAAACAAACGCGGGGGGCGCTCAGATGCAACGCCCAGAGCGCCGCCGAAGCTATTTTGGGCCAAACGCCGAGGGCGGTTTGTGCACCCATGTAGGGAGGCGCGAGGTTGGAGCTTGAGGAGATGGGCGAGGCGTCGGGGAGGACGAGGGTGTGGAGGGTGTGGAGCTAGGATTGAGGAGGTGGAGGCGAGGGACGGATTAGGGAGCTGCGGAGGGGATGCAAGAGGGATGGGGGTGAGAGAATGATGGTCAGGGTATGTGTATGTATGGGAAGCGGCGGAGGGAAAGATAGAGAGGTACGTAGAAGGAGGGCGGACGACGAGGGAGAGAAACTTGGACTTGGATTTAGGCCATGGACGGGAAGGAGGGAAAGGTGGCATGTGGGAGAGGAACTGGGATAGCGAGGAGGAAGCAGATACGAAGATGGAAGTGGCAAAAGAAGGAAAAACATATTAGATGCAAATGCAAAGAGCACCGTACTGAGCAGTAGCATGCACAAAACCTCGACACCCCCAATGCGTCAGCATAAAACTCAGTACGCACAAGGCCTGCATGGAGGGTGCGGAGATGGATGTAGAGTTCGGGGGAGTGTATTCCATCTGCTCTTGCCCGCATCGTCTCCCTTGACATTCATGCGGGGATGGCACCCGCAACTCAGACCTCCGCCACGCAGAAAGCTTCTAGAACCATTAGAACGAGTTTTCCTAGCGCATAAGTGTGACGTCCAAGTTGGATCCGGAGTGGTTCTTTAAGCTTTAGCAATGGCGGGAGGGGACGACTTCAAGATCTATTTATAGATCAAGGTTATTAAATGCCCGCCAGCAACTAAGCAACTAAATCACCCACGCCAATCTTATGGCTGTCCAAATTGTCATTTCTTTGGATTAGAACCGCTCCACCCAACTTTCTGTTGATACCATCGTATATTCATGGAACTTTGTGGCGGTGATGATAGAGCTCAGGAAACTGGGTTACCAGGTTGTTACCAGATGTCTACATGATGCCTCACACAATACCTATATTGCACTAACCCCACCTCCTTGGAAAGGAATATGGGCTCTGCAGTTCCTCCCCTATAATATGGATCCGAGTGAGTGGCCGAGGTAGTGGAACGGATGGGGAGGCCCGATGAGCGGGACAGCCCCCCCCCCCCCCCCATGGTGTGTCGAATTATGAGCCCTGAGGGCAACTTTACTCAATTTACACGTCTTCCACAGCACACCACAACACAACGTTCTCCCGGCCCCGCCCTCCTAACGCGTCATGCACCATCAGTTTCACTACAACCCCAACGTGCGCCTTGTGGAAGGCGCTCGCCCGCCCTACGTGCCTACGCAAATGATCCACCTGCAGCATACAAGCATCCCTTGTTATCAACGGTCGTGGATCCTCGCATGATTATCACCATGTGTATGTTGGGAGACATGGTGTATATTTCGTGGCTTGTCACCACGTTGAAGGCTTTCGATCGTGGCTCGCAAGTTTGAGACCCGTAACACTCGTCGTAGCATCACTATACATTATCTGCAACCATGTCAGTTGGAACATCGGTTCCTTCATCATGCCTGACATACATTTTATACTCTATTCAAACTAGCCTATTTTGCACCCTATGTACTTTGCTTTGAATCTTTATATCTAACTTTGGTCATGTTGGGAACACGAGAAGCCTACAAATTTCCAGTTAGCTGAGTTACACAGCTTTCCCTGCGGAGATATTTCGTGTCATCCTTCTTGTCATAAGTAACGCGCATCTCGATAGGATCGAATGTTTGAGTTGAGTAAATAAAATACAGGTCTTTGCTGTCTTGTGACTGCGGCTAGATAGTGAGCTTCATATCATACGTGGCACGCATCTCGATAGGATCGAATGTTCGAGTTGAACAAATACAGGTCTTTGCTATCTTGTGACCGAGGCTAGCTAGTGAGCTTCATATCATAAGTAACACGCGTCTCGATAGGATCGAATGTCCGAGTTCAGCAAATACAGGTCTTTGCTGTCTTGTGACCGCGGCTAGCTAGTGAGCTTTATACGCGATTTAGTGCTTACTGTGATTGGGGTGTATGGACAAATCTCAAGCTGCGCAACCCTGATCATGACGAGCACGAGGCTAGAGGCACGAGAATGACGGTAACTGTAACTTTCTCACCACTGGACAATTGGAGTGAAGAGCAAGTGAGAATTCGGATTGAGAACCCTGATCATGACGAGCACGAGGCTAAAGACACGAGAATGACGGTAACTGTAACTTTTGCCGGTGGTCAATTATAGCGAAGAGCAAGTTCGGGATGAGAACCCTGATCGTGACGAGCGCAAGGCTAAAGACACGAGAATGACCGTAACTGGAACTTTCTCACCACTGGACAATTGGAGCGAAGAGCAAGTGAGAATTCGGATTGAGAACCCTGATCATGACGAGCACGAGGCTAAAGACACGAGAATGACGATAACTATAACTTTTGGCCACTGGACAATTATAGCGAAGAGCAAGTTCGGGATGAGAACCCTGATCGTGACGAGCACGAGGCTAAAGACACAAGAATGACCGTAACTGTACCTTTCTCACCACTGGACAATCGGAGCGAAGAGCAAGTTCGGGTTGAGAACCCTGATCCCGACGAGCATGAGGCTAAAGACACGAGAATGACCGTAACTGGAACTTTTTCACCACTGGACAATTGGAGCGAAGAGCAAGTTCGGATTGAGAACCCTGATCATGACGAGCACGAGGCTAAAGATACTTACGAGAATGATGGTCTCCTAACGTGGGTTTCCCATTCAATATTCAATACTCGTGGCGTCCAGCCGTCCTTCTGTCATGTCTGTGTTTTACTCATATGTATGCGTTGCTCTGGCGTATTGTTGATCATGCGGCAATCGAGGTATGTGTATGTATGGGAAGCGACGGAAGGAAAGATACTAATAGGGGGCGCGTAGAGGGAGGAAGGGAAGGGAAAGGAGGGAGGGCAGACGACGAGGGAGATAGACTCGGATTTGGATTTGGACCATGGACGGGAAGGAGGGAGGGGTGGCACGTGGGAGAAGAACTGGGAGAGCGAGGAGGAAGCAGATACGAAGGAAAATCATATTGGTTGCAAATGCAAAGAGCACCGTACTGAGCAGTAGCATGCACAAAAACTCGACACCCCCAATACGTCAGTATCAAACTCAGGGTTGCACAAGGCCTGCATGGAGGGCGCAGAGGGGGTGTAGAGTTCTGAGGAGCGTATTTCATTTGCCCTTGCTGTCTCCCTTGGCATTCATGCGAGGAGGACGCCCGTAGCTTGGTCCTCCGTCACGCATGCTTCTAGAACCACGGGTACGAATTTTCCCAGCAACGGAGACGTCCATCCAAGATGGTGTGGTGCTTTCAAAGCATGGAGCCTGGAGGGGAAAGTTCCGAGATCCATTTATAGATTGAATGGGAAATACTACCCCAAAGGTCCTTGCCCACCTGTTGAGTCGGCGGGCCGCCGGCTCGACAAGTTGTCAACTTCACTTTGTCTTAGGGCCAACACACCATTTCTCTATATGCAGGTTAGGGCGTCTGTAAAAACACTCTGTCTTGGGTCCAGCACACCATATCTCTATATGCAGGCTAGGCGTCTGTAAAAAAGAGACCGACTAGTTTACAACAAAATGCTGGACTTGAAGAACTATTATCATGGACCCCACACAAACCCCACAGCACATTGTGGAAAGTTGTAAGGTGTGATATATCACAACTAAGTTTACCATTATAGACCTGTGATATATCAAAACGCCTGGCCGCAGAACGAGCCAAAGTTCGGATTGAGCCAAGCTTTTTATATGGTTTGGTTTGGTTGAGGTTACAAAGATTTGAATTGATTTGCATCGATATCTATGGAAAAGGGGTTTCTCTTTTCAATAGAACCACTTTGCTAATCGAGCCACAAAACAGTCCAAAACGCTGACAAAATGCTAGACGTTGACGGACCCTGGCAGAGATCGTGTGATGTGGTATATATGCCAACCTTGACATGTCAAGTGTATGGCCTCCTGAGTCTTGACACTGCCACTTTCTGATAAGATTATGATGTAGCGAAGTGTATGGTACGCAAGGGGGTGTCGGAACCTGGAAAAAGTATACGTGGCCGTTAATCGACGCAGTTCTACAAACTGAATTCAAATCCGCAAGGAAATTTCCATCTGTTCACTGGGAGAAATGTTACGGGGTGTATAAAGTTTTGAGAACCGGCTAAGAACAAGTTCACCCCACAAACCAAATATAAATTTTCTGCCCCACAGAAAGCCCAAAACTTGTCTAGAACGCGCCACAAGTGCTGCATTTTGAACGTGTGAAAAGCTTCGGCGATCGCCGAAGCGAGGTTCAACCCTCTGAGGCAGTGCCCTTGTCCATGTTTCCACCATCGCGAGGCCTTCATCTGAATGTTACATTGCTCTAACAGGTTCTAAACACTGTTCTGATGTAAGTCATTCATTATATATTCAGTTATTACACTCATAATATATTTTTAGCCATTTTCT